AGTGGGGAGCGGGGAGAGAGGGGGAAAAATGAGGCGCTGACACCAAGGGCTCAAGTAGAAAGCGGGTGTTGTGAGAATGATGATGGCAACATATGTACTAATGTGCTGGACACAAATGATGTATGTACAGATTGTGAAGAGTTGTATGAGCCCCTAATAAAATGATTATTTAAAAAAACAACAAAAACGGAGTAAAACCTCCCGGCGGGCTGGATAAATGTCCTTGACAGGCTGCATGTGGCCCACAGGCCGTAGTTTGAGGACGCCTGACCTTGAGTATCAGGTCCAAAGTTACTACAATTGCTGAATAATCAGCAAAGCAAAATCATTTTAAGAAATCATCATCAGAAAGATTAAATGTGAAATACAGCATTAAAAATGCACGAAATGTCATCAGCTTCCATTTTTTATGTTCTTTACAAATGGTTAAGATACATCCCTTCAGGGGCTTACGTGGAGAGCAAATGTTTTGAGAACGATGAGGGTAACGGATATACAAATGTGCTTTATACAAGTGATGTATGTATGGATTGTGATGAAGAGTTTTATGCGCCCCAATAAAATGACTTTTAAAAAAAAGATACATCCCTTAACAGTAAGCTTTCCAATTTTTCTTGATAAAATAGAAACATTATTTACTAAATCTATCGAGATCTTCTGGAAACCATATAAGAAGCTAGTGAGTAAAATAAAAAACATTTTCTGTCTCTATTTTTGAAATGAGTATATAATGCACCTAGTGCTCACTTTATAACGTAGTTAAGTTCCAAAGACAAGGTCGCATCAGATCCCAAAATGGACGGTGCCTCCATCATTGCATAACTGTCAAAGAATTGAGAATCATAACCGGATAGCCGAAAGCATGATAGTCAGCACTCTCCTCCCGTCACACTCTGGCACTGGTTACTGCTAAATGTACACTGTAAGTGTCCAAAAGAGACAGCAGATCTGTTACTTTTGTTACTATTGCCACGAACCCGATGTATTGAGGAGTTCACTGGTGAGGAGTGGTGTATACCGTACACATGCCCTGATAGACAAAACCAAACGCACTGCCACTAAAGGGATTCTGACTCCTAACAACCCTGCAGGTCAGAGCAGAACTGCTCCTGTGGGTTTCTGGAAGAATCGCTAACTCTTTATGGGAGTGCAAAGCTTGTCTTTCTCCTGAGGAGCAACTAACTGTAGGTTTCGGATCTGCTGACCTTGCAGGTAACAGCCCAACGTGTAGCCCTTTGCCAGAAGGGCTCCCATAATATATACACAGAAGAGTAAACCAGGCTTCATTCGACGGCTATGAAATGCATTTTATCTACAGAAGAGTACTCCAAAACGTTTACCTCTCTCTTTCTTCTTTCTTCCTGAGTACGATGTAAAAGAGACGCCTTTTCTTCCTAAGCCCAAAAGAGAGAAAGAATAAGTTATACTTTCACATTTTTAAATATTTCCATATAAAAAAATTATACAGTTTTTTTTGGCCCAGAAAGGATTTTGAAGGTCACCCAATCAAACAATAAGATGAGAAATCTAAGGAAACAAGAAGTCAACTGATCTTCCTCAGGGATCTTATTTAAGTTAGTATTTCAGTAGTTTTATATGAATGATACCTGATTTGTTCCGTATGCAGGTAGTACAAGTAAAACTGAGGAAATCTGAATAAAATGGTTTATTGTATCAATGTCAATATTCTGTGTCTGACTTACACTTTAGTTTTAAAAACATTACCAATGTATGTACAAATGTGCTTTACACAATTGATGTATTTTTGGATTGTGATAAGAGTTGTATGAGCCCAATAAAATGATTTAAAAATTTTTTTTTAATTAAAAAAAATTTTAAGTCAACAACAACAAAAAACATTACCAATGGAGGCAATTTATTGATAAATACAGGATTTATCTATTATTCTTATAGTTACATGTGAACTTATAATACCGCCATGTAAAAGTCAATAAAAATTAAATTTATTGCTAATATATTTTACATTTTTTTCCATGATAAGTAAAATTAAATTTTGAACAAAATTATTTTAGGGACAGAACTGAAGCAAGGACTTCAGATAAATGAAAAACACTTGAAGACCCCCCCCCTCTCTACAAAACGGTTCAAATCTATGTATTGACATTTTAATGAGTTTAAAATTAATACAAATTAAAATTTAATGGCCCAAGAAATTGCATGTACATCAACAGAAAAAAAGTAATTAAAGTCTCTTTCCAGAAACATACAATCCACCAGAATGGTGTTGGAAAAGGAGCAATCAAGCAACTTAAACATTAATAAATAAACATAATATTCTAGAAATTTAAGAAATTTTCATTTCTTTCTTGAATTTCAAATAAAAAGCCTTTTTCTAACACATGTTCAAAAACAAAGACCTTGTTTTAAAATGTATCAATTAGTTAAAAGGAGAGGCCAATGGAAAAATCTAATGTTAAAAAGTACAAAGAAAGTCAGCATTCAGAATTGTGGCAAGCCTCTAAGTTAAAATACAGACAGAATTAAGAATTAATATAAATATGCTTGTAATTTCTTTTCAGTCCACTTCCATTTGTCCTGATCTAAATTGCGCTTATTATTTGATTATATTTAAACAGATAAAATCTCTTGAAAACAACATACTGACAAAAAAGTCACTGCATTTACTTCAACATATAAATAAGCTCGTTGCTGTGCCCATAATGGTAACCCTATGCGCACAAAGGATAAGATGCTCTATTCGCCCATGACTGGTTGTGCTCCAGATCGCTGGGTTTTCAATAGCTGATTTCAGGCCTTTCTTCCTAATCCATCTTAGTCTGGAAGATCTGCTAAAATGCGTTCAATCTCACAGAAACTACAGCACACCTCACTAGCAGTGACTGTGCATGAGGCCCGCGATCCGAGAATCAAAACAGGGTTTACCATGTGGCAGGACAGAGAATTCTACCCCTGAGCCACTTTGGGCCCCACAGATAGAAATAAGTTCAGTGGTCCCTAATCTAACTGCCCCAGGAGTGCAACAGCCACACAGGTTTTGCTTGCTATCATATTAGCATATCCTTGTCTTCAATATCACATGTATTAAACACAGGTGGGATTTTGTTATAAATTATAAAGTGAATGAGTGAACATTCCCTAAGAATTAAACAAAGTAGTCTAAAAGAATGAGTAGTAACAGCTTACAGGCACTTCTGTGAAGGAAAAACATGCATCATGGTTGAACAATGTGGTTGGCGGGGACGGGTGGAACATAGAAGTCACATCTGACTGGCCTCCTGACTCACACAGGTACCTAAGTCAAACTCACTGCCCTGGAGTCCATGGCAACTCATAAGCGACCCTATAGGACAGAGTAGAAAGCTTCACCTTTCTCCTGAAGAACAGCAGGTGGTGTTTAACTGCTGGCCTGGAAGTTACAGCCCAGTGCCCAACCACTACACCAGGTATACTAACTTTCAAAACAGCAAACCAAAAGATATAATCTACTCTTGCAATCACTTCTTAAAAGACCATTTCATACTAAATAAAAGGGCAATTTTCTTTCAAAATCCAACTATTCAAATTGACCAAATTTATGTAAAGCCTATTGCATTGCCCTTATATTTCTGTTATGTAGTCTCTCTGAGGGGCAATTTGAGAACCCATCTATTCTCAGGGTTCAAGTTCAAACAGCCTTAGCATTTAAATACTATGATAAAAATAAATAAGTACTGTGACCAAAGCATTTCCTTCATCTCTCTTCTGACTACGTAGATAGTAGACCGAGCACATCTTGCCCTCCAACAATCCTACTCCTGGAATTCCCTAAAGAAAACCGTCAGGCTTTCCTTTGCCCTATACTGGTGTTCCCTCTTGACACCAACACATCTTTATACGGTAGCTTACATGCCCTCTCTTCCATAAAGCTTTCCCTAGAAGACCATCCCTACTCCTATTCCTCCACATAATAGACTGGTGAGTTAATCTATGTAAAAAGATTGTTATGGAAATAAAAAAGTGTACACAGTATATAGTGCTTATACCCAAGAAGTAAAAATGATTCATTAGTCAAAATGCACACTGTTCATCAGTCAAAATCATATACACCAGAATGTATATTGTCAACAATACAGCCATCAAAAATGTAGCGGAGTACTCTTCTGTGAGTTACATATACCACAGAGTACTAGTGCAGAAAGGATGTAATTATTTTGGAAACGGGTGATTTTTTTTTAATTCCTAAAGATAGAAAATGAAACTTAAATTATGTCAGCAAGGAATGGAGATTATGATAAGAGTAGATAACAAATTTGACCTGAATCTAAAAAAGAGTTGAGTGAAAGAATTGTACTCATTCAGTATAAGGAAGGTGTGTGGAATGGGGGCAGAGGTAGAGCATTACATGACCAGCAAGACTGGATGATAGCCAGCGAAGATAAGACACTGAGGTTGCTGGCCTTCAAGCCTTCTACAAATTACACAGGTAGTGCCTAGCAGACACTCTTGTGATTCTACTGCTTAGTCAAAACAAATGTCTATTTAAAGAGAATATATGTATATTATGATATTGGATAGTGTGTTCTGTTTCTGTCGATGAGAACAAGTTGGCTAATTGTGTTGTTTTGTTTATTCTTTCACGGAGTTTCACCTCAAGGCTTTGGCCACTCATTTTAGTGTACATAAACAGATCTTGTCTATAAAAACTTGTAGCTGGTGTTTGTTGATTCTATTTTTCTTTTTAGATTTATTAATCAGCATTCTACTCAGAGGAAGAAGCTCTCTATTTATTTGGTTATTTATATAAGTGTTGATCCATGGATATATGCTATCCCACAAATTAAAATTTAATCTGATCAATTACCCCACAGTAACCATGAGAAGATACAAGAGAAATGCAAATTGAGAAATATTTTCATCTCCAAAGAACTGAGGAGAAAGAAAAGTATAAGTTATTTAGTTATCTCAGCACATTAACTGAGCTTGGTTATTTCTCTCCCTCAATAAATTATGCTCCTTAGGAATAAAGCCTTTGTCTTATTTCTCTTTATGATTTTGATATTTAACATTGTGCCCAATAAAGGAAAAAAGGAAAATGAGCTGATTCCGGGAACCCAAGAGGCAAGCGAATTTTGGGAATGATGAGGGCAACAAATGTATAGATGTGCTCTACACAATTGATCTATGTATTGCGATGAATTTTATGAGTCCCAATAAATTGATTTAAAAAAAAAAAAGGATTCAAAGGTTACATTTTAGATAAAGTTAAGAACCCTGAGTGGGGACCCAAAAAGCCCATCTGTAGGCAACTGGACATCACCTTACAGAAGGGTCACGGGGAGGAGAGGAGCCAGTCACAGTGTGATGTAGCAACGCTGAAACATACAACTCTCCTCTAATTCTTAAATGCTTCCTCCCCCCCCACTATCATGATCCCAATTCTACCTTACATATCCGGCTAGACCACAGGATGTACACTGATACAGATAGGAAATGGAAACACAGGGAATCCAGGACAGTTGAGCCCTTCAGGGCCAATGGTGAGAGTGGCGATACCAGGAGGGTGGTGGGAAGGTGGGGTAGAGAGGGGGAACCGATTACAAGGTTCTACATATAACCTCCTCCCTGGAGGATGGACAACAGAAAAGTGGGAGAAGGGAGACGTTGGACAGTGTAAGATATGATGAAATAATAATTTATAAAATATCAAGGGTTCATGAGGAAGGGAGGAGCGGGGAAGGAGGGGGAAAAATGAGCTGATACCAAGGGCTCAAGTAGAAAGCAAACGTGGGCAACAAATGTACTTGACACAATGGATGATGTATGGATTATGATAAGAGTTGTATGAGCCCCCCAAAAAATGATTTAAAAAGAAAGAGCCCTGATGCTTGAGAAGAAAAACTTACATTTTGGAAGAAAAAAAAAAGCAATTCATGATTAAATTAAGAGACTGGACTATAAATCACTTAAGCAAGAGTAAACCAAAAGTATTGCTACTAAGGTTCCATTTCATGTATGCAAGGACTCTTCAAAACAATATGCTTAAACATGTCTTTTGGAATAGAGGTTTGCTCAGCAATGTACTTGTCTGATTGCGGTGCCTTCAAAAGCAGGTGCAAGCAAAACAGTGGCTTCAGAGAGGGTCTCCCTGGCTAGTTAAATTGACGGCAGAAAATTAAAGCAGATTCTTATCTCAAAAGACACAGGACCTCACAACGACTTAGTATGAAGTTGTAAGAACTGAAAACTGTATTGATGAGAAGAAGGTTGGGAAAGGTGCACAGAGCCGCTGTTTGCTGACACATCTGCTCATTCTTTAAGGGTCAACAGCAGTCTTACGAGAAATTCCTGGGACATTTTTCCCCCATCCACCTTTCAGCCCTGATTTGGCCCTTTCAGATTTCTCTTGTTCCCAAACCCAGACAACACTTAAAAG